TGTTGTGTCTTGGCAGTTCATTTTCTTCAACATGCGTTTAAAGCAACATCTGTAATTAGTACTTGGGATAGAATAAATTAACGGATTTAGAGAACAGTTTAAAAGTGTCAGATATTGCACTCCAATCCTTAACCGACTAAAAATACGAAGTTCTCCAACATCACTGGTGGTTATCCCGCTAAACTGAATTACTACCGCCACTCCATAAGGAACAAAGGCGATAAAAAAGACGGCTGTCAGCACCATGAGAACTATAACAAGCCTCTTTTTTTCTGCCGTCGCTTCGTTACCCCGGCTGCAAATTGTTTGTCTAAAACACAACCCGGAAATAATTCGTGAATAGCAGAAAGCGATGCCAAGGAAAGGGAGCAAAGTAAGGAGAGTCACCAGGCAATAAACGTACACTTTCATCACCGCATGGTCATCACCAGGGGAGCAGAGAGTGGTGTTTAAGCTCGGGCGCTGGTCCACAGACACAAACAGAGGCGAGACAATGGCAATGGCTATCAGCCAGATAACAGCTAAGACGTATCCGACTTTTTCGAGTTTGATCCTCCAAGAAGTTGTAAAAGGTTTTACCATCGCCTGGTATCTGTCGGCAGCCAACACCGTCAGCGTCATAGCGGACACAAGAAGCGTTACCATAGTGATATTGTTGGTTGTTATAAACTTGCAAAGGAAACTGCCAAGGGCACCATTTGGGAAAGGACTCTTGATTGGAATAAGATGCATCGTCGTAAACAACAGGGTGGTGATATCTGCAGCGGCCACGTTGACAAGAAGGTAATTGGTTGTCGTCCTCATACGACGGAAACCTATCACCGCAGCAACAATAAACGAGTTACTCAGCAATCCAAGCAGAATGATTATTCCTGCGACCACCTTAGGTGCCTGCGATGCCGGTCCATCTGGCTGCCTCGCTGTAGGGTCGAGGCTTTCAGACTTGCTTTGTTTTTCTGTCCTTTCACATCACATTAACCTTCTTCTATTTCTAACAAAACAGAAACTGGCCAAAATGCAAACAGATTAGGGATCGCACAGAAGAAAGTTATCCCGAATTGTTAGACCTGTGCTAAGTGACGATCAATTTATGGCTGTCTGACCTCGCCGCTACACGTTTCTTATCACGCCCTATCAATCCGCAATGCTGAATGCGTCATTGTACGCAACCAATAGGAAGTTTTAAACTTGTCATCTACATTATAACGATTAAGTCTCCAGTGTTTCTCAAAGCATCATGAATAACCTAATCCAGCATTAACTGCGGTGTTTCGCAACAAATGATAGTTACTAAACGACTGAGAGACGACTCGGGTATGTCCCCACTATCTATATGCAGAAAGATAAAATGTTTTTCTGAATAATTTGTTGGAGTGCTTGTCGACGAATTTGTGGTACACATACATACCGCGAACAAATGTATGAATGGTTCAAATGGGTGAACCGAGTCGGCAGATCTGCTTAGAATCTTTAAGGTTGAAAGCTTTTTCTTTCGTAGGGTATTAAAACGAGAACCCGACAAATTTCATTCACCCTTCTCAATGGGGAGAAGAAATCTTTTGATTATCATTTCATTCAGTCCTCTCACATTTTCCCCTTTAAAATTACTCATGCATCAACGATTATCTCAGTATTTTCGTGTGATCGCTATAGGGTCCTTTAAGACGCATTTGAAATTTCATGGTTCAGGCCATAACAACGGATCATTAAAAATGAAAATATTAGTTCAATTTCCCCATGAATCGAAAACAATTTGACAAAAAAAATGTTGACAAATAAACACACACTTATTGTCGAGAGTAAACCAAACGACAAAAAGCAATAAGCTCTGCAGTAGCTCTAAGAAAGATTTTTGTATGAAATGTAATAATTATTTCCAAACCTTCTTTTGTCTGATTTGTATTTGTGTCTTCAACTCACCTCTGGCGGTTAACATGGAAGATTTCCTTCGTCTAGAGGAGACTCGTTATTAGAACACGGAGGTTTTTCTTAACACGACCACTGCAGAGAATTTCCTCTTTCAACGAAACGAAAGAGTGATGATATCCTTATACGTTTTCCTCGTAAAATTATCATGACTGGTTCTCGATTCAGTATTACAGGATTAAAAATTCTATAGAACCATCAACAATGCCGACTGCACTTAATGTGAGAGTAAATGTTCTTAACGTCAGCTGGCGTCATTAACTGCAAAATGTAGACCACAGTGAGGGACCGAGAAGAGGAATGGGGGGAGGGATATCGGTTTTGTCACAGCAAAATTTACCCTATTCCCCCAGCGGCTCAGCAGTAGTGTAGCGATCCCCTTCATTTGCAATCAATTTTCTTATTTACGACGACCGAACACCCTCCGTCTTAACTGACTTAAAAAATTTGGATTCTCCCAAATCCTCCCCCATCAACCCCCCCTTCCTCCAGGAATACGAATTATGGGAATACGAAGCGAAAGAAATATATTAAAATTGATGAATTACCTCATAAGGTGATCAAAATCTTAATTTGAACTTTTTTCTCCTCTAAGGAAGTAGAATTAAAAGTAAAATCGTTTCACGAAGGTAACGCAAAAGTGCTCTACGATAAAATTAATCTCAGTATTAGAGGATTACTCTAATTTATTTCAACTCCGCAAAGATTAAAAAGCACTCGTTAGTATCAGCGTAATCCTAACCGTTGCTTGTTTAGGATTACTATCTTAACGAGATTATCAACAAAGCGAGTTTCTTTGGAAATTTCATCAAAATCGAAAAATAATCCTATGTTGGAGATGTTAGAACGAAACGACCACAACTAAATTTCTGGGTACCAAACATAATTAAAATTTTCTGAAATTTATTTTGCATTTACGTGGATTACCGAAATAACCCCAAAATTTGGAATCGAGTGTTAATTTCTTTGTTTTCGCATCTAGCGCTCACTTCAACACGTGAAAGTGATAATATATCTTTCCTTTCAACTTCTTCTTTTGAATGAAATTTGTCACCACTCACTTTCGCGATACCGATACACAAGGAGCGACTTACGATATCTTTTGTTTTGTGTGAGAAATCATATCAATGCGCAGCGTTCCTTCCTTTCATGTCTCTCTACATTCAGATTCAACAACAAAATCAAGCACTTCAATCAAACTATCTATTCCCACAGGGCAAGACTGTTAGGATGGTGTTCACTGGGGCTTTTCAGCCGTTTGCCAATTATGGGGGTCGAATCAGATTGGAAAACTGTTTACTACGACAGAGCGTGCTTGAGAAGGATTTATTTCGAAACGATTGCGTATGAATTTCTTCGACTCGTGAATATTTCTAACTATTCATCTTCTGACAACACGGTATGTCAAAATATAACAATGGTATCAGATAAAAAAGGAAATACATTTTGCGCAGTCAGACATCGTTCTACCCTTGGAGGAATATTGACGTTGGAGTACTCTTAGATGAACGAAAAGATGATCCGCAGAGATTTGTATATTTTTCTGAAACAATCTGAAGTCGTCTGCTAGTATCAGTCACTGATATATAAAAATTATATTCGATCGTGTCTTAAGTTTGGTAGGATCGTAGTTATAATTGTAATTAAGAGCTCTCCTCAAGCCGCTAGGCGATGTGAACATCCTGACTAAGTGTTATTATTTTAATTATCATTATTGATTATTATCGACGTTTTCGTTGTTAATTTCGTCCTCGTTATCATCATCATTGTTATCGTGACTGTTATCGTTATTGTTACTGTTATCGTTATCATTATCGTTATCGTTACTGTTATTGTTATCATTATCGTTATCGTTACTGTTATCGTTATCATTATCGTTATCGTTACTGTTATCGTTATCATCATCGTTATTATCACTGTTATCGTTATCATTACCGTTATCGTTACTGTTATCGTTATAATTATCGTTATCGTTACTGTTATCGTTATCATCATCGTTATTGTTACTGTTATCGTTGTCATTATTGTTATCGTAATTATAAGAACTGCCATCATCATCATTACCATGGCAATTCTCGTTCCCGAGTTGGGGAGATTTTACATTATAATTGCATAGACATGTATCATTTTTTTTAAAATTTAAACGACAGAGGTCAGAGAAACACTTCACAAACATTTTTACCTTCTTTCCAAAAAGGTTGATTTTTTAAAAACTAATTGCGATATGTTACCAGGACAGTTACTTCCCTTACGAGGGGCTTATCAACAAAGAGGATAACAACACTAACTATTTTAACTTTTTTTTTAAACAATTCACTTTTTTCCACGTGCTCTAATCACCATGGTTATAAATTCAGTTTTTGCCTCTCATTGAATTGCAACAGGTCAAATTGAGCTTTCCGACTTTCTAGCTTTTCGAAGATTGAAGCAGACTTCTGCTAAATTAGAAAACTCTAATGAATCCTGACTATTAGTTAAAGTATTGTGAAAGCTGAAGGTAAACTGATATGTATTCCTCAAGGAGATCCGGGGTGCAAATACGGCAGGCATTCTGACACAATGATATATCTCCCAGTAGCTACGCACGCCTTGATTCCTCAATTTACCGGCCCGTTAAAATTTCAAAATGACAATATGGTGTTCACAGGGTTGAATTTCCAACCTTTTTAGATACCGTGCGCGTTGACTTAGGGCGAAGATTTACAGCATTTGGCCTGGACAAGTTCTCAGCCGGTAAATATAACTTTTAATTTTTTTAAATATCTCTTTTAAATATCGTCGAAATGAAGATCTTAGATCAATTCAAAGCACGCACAGAATATTTCAAACGCTACGCTGCACAAACTTGTTTGGTCATTAAATAAACAAAACAAATTGCAAATACACAAACAAAATTATATCGCAAGGGCTTTGTACATGCATAAGAGATTAGTGCGTTTTCTCCTTTCAATAGCCAGTCTTGCTTCTATTTGAATAAAGTTTCGATAGATTGTTCGGCCATGTTTTTTTTGCATTTTATTGATACTTTATGAGTAGACAATGTTGTTTGTGTGACAACAAAAATTTGCATAGTCGCTACCACGTTTGCAAATAATCATGCAAAAAAAATTCAGTTATTTGTTATGTTATACCTGATAAAAAACAATCTAGCTTAGTATTATACATGTAATTGAGAAAATCTATTCAACTATCATTTTCTCTAAATTTAACTGTTATTGTCTCTGTAGCGCTTGTTTTGAAAGAAAATGATTCATACAAATTCACTGCGCATTGAACTTGCTCTTCTTGCTTCTCAAAATTTATTTCGGTAGAAGTACACGAACCACTCTTGAGTTAATGGTTTAAGGCTGTTCACGTTGCCAATTAATACCTCTTTTAATTTACGGTTATCAGATGGCACACAGCAAGAGATAATTATCAATTTAGCACACAGTCTGAGCCAATGACACAAAACGTTTTGTAATCCAATTTACCACAGCAATAAAGAAGACAATTGAAACTTTCTTGTCCAGATCGATACGTATTAGAAAAAACTCTGAATCTTCCCTGTACGGTCCTCAGCCGCGTTCTCGGGCATCACACAAGAACTCGTGCGTAGTTTTTCCCAGCAAGGAACTCCGACTCAGTCAGTAAAAGATTAACATTTATAAATCATAAGACCAAAGCATTTCAGGATTTTCCTGCTCTTAAACAATTTCTGGAAGGCTTCGTCGTTTTAGTCCAAGGGCATGAACCTCTTCTCTGGTATCCCCAAAGAATATTTTCTTGATGATGTACCTAAAACAGCATCTGTAGTTGGTACTCGGGATCGCATATATAAATGGATTTGTGGAACAATTGAGAAGTGTCAAATATTGCACGGCGGTCTTGAAGCGACCAAAGATAACGCGTTTTTCATTGCTGCTGTTTGCCATTCCGCTAAACTGCAGGATAAGCGCCACTCCATAAGGCACAAACGCCACGAAAAATACTGACGTTAAGACCATGAGAAGTACGACAAGTCTCTTTTTCTCTCCCAGTTCTTGAGGCGTGCTTGGTCCTTGCCCTCTGCTGCAAATCGTGTTTTCAAAATACAAGCCGGAGATAATTCGGAAATAGCAGAACGCGATAGCAAGGAAGGGGATTAATGTGAGGAGAGCCATAAGACAATACACGTATACCTTCATCTCATCCATTTTGTCACCTGGAGAGCAAAAACTGTTAGAGTTGGGGCGATGATCGACAGATACAAACAGCGGCAAGACCATTGCTATGGCAACTGCCCAAATGCCGACTATAATGTAGGCGATGTTGTCGGTGTTGACCCTCCTTGATGTGATCAGCGGTTTCACCAAAGCGTGGTACCTCTCTACAGCCACAAGTGTCAGCGTTAATGTAGTCACCAGCAGTGTTACCATGGTGATGTTGTTAGTGTAGACAAACTTACAAAGGAAGCTGCCAAGAGCGCCATTTGGGAAGGGGCCCTGGATTGGAATAAGGTGCATTGCCGTAAATAACAGGGTTGTTATATCTGCGGCGGCTACATTGACAAGAAGATAGTTGATGGTCGTTCGCATCCGTGGGAAACTTTTGAGTACAGCAACGATGAAAGAGTTACCAACAAGCCCCACTACAATGATGATCCACACGAACACGATACGCACGATGCGCTCCGTCGAAGCTTGATGTCTTTCAGTCGAATTGTGTGCGCTGATAACAGAACTGTTGTCGAGGTTGAGAGCAATCATTTTTGCTCGTATAACAGCAACTTACACCTCTACCTTAAAGAAAAGTAAGAGGGGAGAAGCTATGAACTATATTCGAGAGTTCCAAATTTAAAATGTATCCAACACCTGTCTTTATTCTTGTCGGCTATCAAAATTGACCAGTTGTGAATAACATCATTCAGTACCATGCATATCGTAAATTTTATTGGATAATTCTAAATTGAATTTGGATGACAGATGGCCTACATCAAGCAAAAACCTTTTTCATTTTTCCCCCAGAGATATCAATGGAGTTCATGAGAGTTCTACTCGCTGATGGGTCCGAAAAAAACTTTTCTGAGTATGAGACTTCTTAATTTCACGTGCTGAATTTTTTAACCCGGTTGCTTAGCTTTCAAACATTGTTATGTGCTCTTTAGGGATGATTCTCAGTACTGTCAAAGACAGCAAGTATAAACCCATCAACGATCAACGACTTGCGATGTCAGAATTCCCACAAATGAACTTACGAAATCCGTGTCAATTGCGATGATTATCACTGACCAAAGTCTCATGCGTCAATATTAAAGCAGAGAAACTGGAGATTCTATCAGTTTTAGTTAAATCTTTCAAACTGGAATTAGGATTTTTTGATTGACTTTAAGTATTAACTAGTCTCCTTTAAATGTCTCCGACGTAGGTGGGCATATATCACCGGCGGCTTGTTTGACTAGCATTAACCATAATAACTTCAAGTACTTTCTGTCGATTATTAAGTAGGGTATAATCCACCATTCTGATTCACGAAGGTAAACCTTAAATCTTCGTGTGAAATGAGTGTTATCGGCAACCTGGTTGTACGAAGCACTGTACTGAGATTACAAGGAAGATGCGACCGTATTTAAAAAAAAAAGACCTTACAAAAAATACTAAAATTTGTTAGGCCAATAAGAAATCATGAATTTCTAGGTTTCATCGGTGAAAAGTGTTACATGAAAATAAATTCAAGTGAGCTCATAACTGGGAAAAACGACATGTAAAAGCGTTTGACTACTTTTTGCTAAGATTTGGAGCGGCTGTAATGAATTTTGAAAATCGATCTATCCCAGCACCTTAAAATGTCTCGGGGAAATATGAAAGTCAGTTAAAAAAATTTACCTTTTTCGGTGGCGAAGTTGCCTGCCGGGATAAAGTGATGCAGGACATCAAATGCAAAGCACGAAATCTTTGGCCGCAAATATATACAAACTTTTTTCAATAAAAAAAAAGAAGATAACGATGTCATTATACGGTAAACTTTCGGCAATTCTCGTTTCCACGCATATATATAACTCATCACTCAAATTTTAAACGTAATTCGAGAACCTCTGACTTCAGCTGAATCCTTTACGAGTCACAGCGGAAAGCGGCTTTTTCTTCTGATAAGCACAGGTCGAGTAAATATAATGTAAATATGATTAGTGGTATCACTCGGCGAAAATCAAACACTAGATTTGTAAAATTAAAACGCATATCGCCTGCTTGAATTTTTTTTTTCCTCTTTTATTTTATTTTTACAATTTTTTTTTGTGTTTTTTTTTGTTTTTGCAATCCAAAGTGAAGTGCCAGTCCCATGTTTTCAATATGAAAGGCAAAAAATCTCATCAATATACTCGTGTCGGACGCTTTCATAAATGTACTCTAGAGGTGTATTTATACTTCTCATATTGCAATGATTAAGTATCTTTAAAATTACAGATGAGGTTCTTACTTTCACATTTAAGGATCTCCAATGAGGTGGCCAAGATAAAATCTAGTTAGGGAATGAAGTTGATATCTCTCTTTCACTTGAACCAGATGTTTTGATGGTTTTTTTTTTTTCGGGATCCATATTCAAATTTGAAACGAAAGGGAAAGGAAAGATTAAGATAGTATATTTTTATCACCGTTTTCAAATATGCAAATGACCATCACCCCTTCTCCTTCTACTGTTTGCTAATCGTATCCAACTGTGAAGAATACTCTGTCGCTTATAAGGTATTATGTGAAGTCCAAAATTTAATCTCTCAAACACACACAAACGGAAGTACGCCCCGATTGCATAAACATTGCTAAGCTGCCAGAGAGGAAGTCAATAAAATGGAAAAAAAAGTAAACTCTCCTGACTGAAAGAAGTTACATTTTGCAATGCTCGTAGAAAATAAAAATGTAGATGTACTTTAGAACCCTAGATCAGAGTTTCTATTTATGTAGAATTATAATGTAGGTTTCGCGCTTCAGGTTTTTCAACGTACGACAAAAAATGACACCGTAGTAAAGTTTCATTCCATTCAACTGTTATTGGCACTGGATCAGTCCTTATTATGTATATTGTGATGTTATGTATAGAACACCGATAACAGTTTTCTTTTTATTCGTAGCTCCACCTTGCTGCTCACTAAAAGTTTTTGTGGGATATCAATTTTACACATTGGACCTTATCCCGTTTCCGGATTTGCCTAAATTCATCTTCTATTTCGGCTTGTTATTCAAAAGCGAGGAGTAGCAAGCGCAAAATTCATGCAAAAGAGAGCTTGTAAAGACTATTGCTTTCATGATTTCAATTTCATCTAAATACATCAACAAATCATTTTTCATATTCATAAAAAAGGGATAGAGACATTTATGCTGATATTTGCACCAGGTATTTTACTTCGGTTTGACATTGCACAGTGCAAACTCCTATTAAACAAAGCCAAATTTATCCTAAAAGAACAAAAATATTAATCAACTCTGAGAGATCTACTTTTCTCCGATTAGCTAAAACAATGACCATCAAATGTGTTTTTTTTTTAGCTGAGGTCAAAATATTGTACTTTAGTTATTAAACCTTCCTCTTCTATCGCTTCCGTTCTCACAAAATCCTTAGATTTACCCCGTTAAAAATTCGTTGCTTATAAAACTGTTACTTAAAAGCTCGTTACAGGAGATAAACCCACATGCTGATCCCCAGGAGTCATTGAAGGTCAAGATACTTTCGATTTTGGGTTGAGAACTAAGAAAAACTTACTCATAGGACTTACCGAGATCCTTGTCCCTCCCTGAATATGGAAAAAAACAGTGATTTTAAGCTAACAACGCAAGCTGTTTTAACAGCACTGATTATTTTTCCTCGGATGCAACCAATCAGCATCCAGTAGAGAAAAATAACGCATGTGTGATAAGTGGGGTGATAATGGACTAAAATCCACTTGCAGGTAATCCTAATTCGATGCAGAAACGTTGTTAGAGAAGAAAGAAAGAACAGAAAGAGAAAAAGCCCAATTAAAGAGTAATTTATTTTCATATATAACAACTCTTGGCCGCCGAACAATTTTCACAGGATTTCGATTGAAAAACTCTTTCAAACTTCTTGAGAGTATCAGACGTTGTTTTGAAATTTCAAGCGATTCCAACAAATAGAAATATTGATTATATGCTTATTTTGTATGATTATGCTATGTGCTAATTTATTCCAATTTGGCTTTTTCCTATTTGCTCTTTTCTATGACAATGTCGCTGCAATTAGGTGTAGCTACCCTGTGTATTAAGGGCAGACTGTTGACGAGTAGTTATGATTCAGTCTACAAGTCATTCAGTCTTTCTTCAAGGACGAGGTGTTACTTTTTTTTCTCAAAAATTTACTACTTTTAAATCAAAGAAATGATGAAGGGCAGGAAAAGATCACAAAAAATAGTTTTGGTAAGTTTTACATTTATATTTCGATATCACAATCACTCCCCAGACCGATAAAAACAGTTCCATAATAAATTTATCTCGACTGATCCGCGTTACTCAGATAATCGCAACTCGTTGACAAATAACAAAGATACTCTCAATCACAAACCAAACACAAACCAAACATGATATTTTAAAGCATTTTATTTCTATCGCATGCGTCTTGCTGAACATTAATATCGGACTTTCTTGCAATTCGTGTCCTCTACATCACCTGTAAAAAGACAAAAAAGCCTTATAAACACTTGGCGTAACAAATTATAAAGATAAAATGAATACATGACGAGGGCTCAACGTCTAGCCAATGAAAATTTTCCATAGTTTAGTTTAATAATATCTATGATAAAACTCATTGTTGCTATAACTCGGTTAATAGTGGAACAAGCAAGTTATTCGTGTGTTTTTCGAGTTGACGGCTTGAATTGAAGTTTTCCGTATTTCCATCTATCCTCTGTTTTTACAAATATTTTTTCGTTGTGCTAATTTTGTGTTTGACACAGAGATATTTGATTCATATATCTATTCAAGAGAAGCCTTTCTTCCTATCTAGCTGATTTAGTGTGAGTGCCGGAGTTGTGTTAGGCACAAGGAAAAAATTTTTGTAACAGTTTGTGTCATTTTTGGTAGTTAACTTTTTTCGTCGGGTTTGTTCATAAGTTACAGAAGGAGCGCCGTCAACGGGTAATACCTCTAGATTAGCAGAAGTTGCAAGTCGCTCTGCAATGTTCTCTCATGTAGTTCTCTATTTCGTTGCGCCTGTCCTGGTAATTTTCACAATCATCTCTCTTATCAGCGCACGGAGCTATCCAAAATTTGTTAAAAAAAAAAGAGAAACATATTATCTCAGTACCATATGAGTGACTATTTTGTTTTTCTACACGGAAACAACTCTTTACTCGCAGTGATTGCTCTTTTTGGTTCCTCGTTTTTTGGCCATCAGGTGTAACAAGATCGTAGGCTAAATTTATATCTATACACAAGTATTGAACTACCTTTTTTCAAAACTTGGATATTAAATTGCAAAACGAACCATAAAGTGATTGAATCCCGGCAATGTCATCACTATGAAGCTTCAAATCAGGCTTGTATCCCAGATAAGCCGGGTAGATCACTGCATCTCGCACGTTGGAATGCCTTAAACCAAGATTATGACCAATTTCATGAACGGCAACATACAACAAATTGGTTCCTTCTTCAGAGAGGTCGGTGAAGGTTTCTTCTTCGTCAAAATGAAGTCGGCCATCAGGTGGCGCGAACGCATGTGCAAGAACACCACCTTCTCCGTCGAAAGGGTAACGGCACGTGTTTTCTCCAGAAGTTCCATAGTGAGTTCTTGGGCCAAAACTATGGGTGAGTAAATACTGTTAGGGTTCTTATTGGTTGTAATCGTCCTGGAATTCTAAGCCTCTAGCTCATTTCTGACAGTGTAAGAGGTTCAGAGCAATTTCGAATTCCAACAGAGTGTTGAAACTAATCCGAGGTTGCTTTGGTTTCGTATTACTTCGCTCTGTCATTGGTCTAAAAACTCTTAGCACCACTCCAAGTCAATCAGATTAAACTTAAACCGACCGTGACTGGCTGACTCGCGTTCCCTCGCGCCCATGGTAGCTTACATGTTTAGGTTCAGTTCTTATGATTCAGTTCTTAGGGTTCGGTTCATTTCCTTCACAAACACAATCAGAGCATTATGGATACAACTATTCTACCTGGTTGGATTTAACAACAAGGATTGTTTTTTTTCAATAATTTCATATCTTATGTTCGCGGAACAAATTATTTAGTAGAATGGACCTGCTTAGCATTGTAAAACATTGCTTACTTTATTTGTTATACTGGAAGAACAACAACAACAGCATCGCAAAAGGGTTGATGCAAGAAATATTTTGGTAACTGTGTTTTGGTTTAAGTTGGCTGCAACTGTTCGTAATCTCAGGATGTTCATCCTCCCATTTATTTCCCACATTTCTGTTTTTAGTCATGAATTCTTTGACTATTTATTTCGACAAAACATGTAATACTTTTATTCCATTTAGTTAATTTAGTCTTTAAACCTCGTATTCCCTTAAGACAAATCTTGCAAATCGATCGGTAAAGAGAGAGTTCAACGATGACCTCTAAAAACTGACAGAGACGGTTAAATAGAAATCGTTCACGCATGAAGATAGTGATTGGATTTGTTACTTGCGGAGTAAGGACGTCGAAAGGTACAATAAAAAGAGTCGCCCCAAATCAACTCAAAAGGACACTACGGATGCAGACCCTTGAATCTTAGAGAAGAGAAAGCTTCGTGACTTGCCGAGGACTGCCTGAAATTTTTTGATGCCCTTTGCGCCCCTCGGCGTCTTAAAACTGATATATATAGACAGGATGTCAGGAACCTTTACCTCATTTTCAAATCTGCCTGACTTGGATGACCAACGCGCGAAAATGTTAGCGGAGACACCTTACTCCAATACTGTAGGGCATGCTCGATCACTTGACTTTGTGTTGAGCGCGGCAGATCCTTGCCGTGTTGCAGATAATATGTCAGATGTGTTTTAGACCATTTGGATCCAAAAACACTGTACCGTCTTCTACGAGTTTTGAAAGTACCATATTCAACGTCTGGTACACCGCACCGTGGTTTCCTCATCATTTTTAAGGTGGCTTCGTCGACATTCCCAGTGACCGGTAAATTCATGAAATGTTGAAAATTCCTGACAGCTGTTTTAAAGTCGTGGTTTCCAGAGCGCGTTGGAGATATGTAGTGGTACACTTGCAGATATTTCTTTATTAATAAAGAGATCAACTGACTTAGAATAGAACGGACGGAAATGTGATATAATATCTATGTAACTATGTAACATGTAAAAAAGGCTAGTTCAAGAAATCATTATTATCTGTTTCCATCTAAATTTATTTTCGATAGTTAATGAACTTATCTTTCAAGAAAAATATTAGCTTACGCCGTTATGAGCAAAGCAAACTGAGATCGTGGGTCTTTTTGTAAAAACCCTGCACAAGGTTACCTACATATGCCTCTTCCTCATCGGATGCAGAAACAGCAACAAAAGCCAAAAATAGGGCTAGTACTAGGACTCTAAACATCATTATGCTTTTTAGTTCTCTTAGCAGAAGAAGGGTTCGAATACGACTCGTAGCGCAAACGAAACACTGAAATGTGAACAAATGCGATCGCTAATTTCTTTTATGGCTGACGCAACATTTTTAATAACCAAATATTTTTATTTCAATAGAGCAGTAAGACAAAGATGGCAGTTCCCGGAAAGACGAGCGCTGACAGGAATTCACATGCGTCAAACATACAGCACTGTGCGAGCACGTAAACGCTGAAGTTTAAGAAACGGAAAATAAAGCACTATGTAGGTGTCACGAACAAAGCAGGACAAGAAAGTCCGAGAATTTATACTTTATCCGCTTTCCCTCTATAGATTATTGTTTTATCAGGCTCTTCCTCAGTCTTACAAACAAGTGCTGCATTTAAAGACCTCAGTCCAGCAGTTGTGCAAAAAATTAAAAAAGGTGAGGAAACAAACCCAAATGCTTCCTAACATACCTTACCATTTTATGAGGCAAGCGTAACATTTGTTTATAAACATTAGCCTTTAGATTACATACAGCTGCCCTTTCTCTAAGAAAGTTGCTCTCCTGTTTTAAAAAACCTACGATTTGTGGGCACCATACGGACAACTATACACTCAAAATGTCAATGTAAGCTGGACAGGTGATTCAACGCAAAAACAGGCCCATTGCCTTGTTTCTGTAGCAGGGCATAGCACAGTCGTAACCAGATCCCTGGCTTGACTCTCAGCAGTGATAGCCGATTGTGAGGGATAATTGCTTGAGGTACAGTTTATCAAAGAATTTTCCTGAGACAGAGGATACAATTTTCGTGGACAATTGTTAAAAACCGCCAAACCCCAGCCCGGTTAGCTCGTGTTGTAGAGCGCCGGACTGCCGTGTGGGAGGTCGAGGGTTTAAGCCCCAGACTGGACTAACACTCAGGGTCTTCGATTAAATGAGGAGAATGTACTGCCTTTGCTATGATATTTGTAAATGGTTAGACATTCTAGTCTTCTCGGATAAGGACGAAAAAAACCGTTGGCCCCGTCTCCTGCATCTTCTCTATATTGGTTAGCAGGGGACGTTAAAGAACCCACTCACTTATCGCAAGGAGTAGGGAACATAGCTCCCGGTGTTGTGGTCTGGCCCGTTGACTAGAAATTAGGGGGCATCTGTTGGATTTTGCTTTATTCATTGTAAACTGCCACAAGCATTCTGGTAAAGTCCCCCGCTCTGTGTTGTAAGATTGGTTCTCAATATCCCCGTAGGGAGTGATCAACTAACCTTATGTAAACGCAAATGATCGATTTTGACCAAAAAAAATATTTAAGCATATGTCTTCCCTTGAATAGAGTTCGATCAAACTAAGACAGTTTAAACTAAGGCTGACTTTGCTCATTTAGATTTCTACTCTTTAATAGGATGAGAAATTGCTGAGAGGTGAAACCTTAGTCTCATGAATAATGCGTGAATATGTTAGAATCTCTTGACAGTGCTCCTAACGACCAAAATACTCGAGAAGTTCTGGGTTTACTCAAGAAACCAATCGTAGGTCAATCAGAGATCTATTGTCATAGCTGTCGTGGCTAGCGACATATTTAGTATCAATTGAGAAAAAAAAAAAAAAAGAAGAACAAAAGAAAAGATAATTTTTCCTTGTTACACCTGAAACCTTAGCTCACTTCGCTCTCAAAAATCCGAAAAAAAAAAACATCTCTTAACAGTTCTGGAAGATTGAGACGAATTGCATTGGTTTGAAGGAGAAAGATTTTTGTCAACTCAAACATACAGTTTTTATACACAAAAATTCGAAACATTCTCTGGCTAGTACCATTTTGAGAACGCAAGATTTTCAGTGCCTAAATTGCCGTCTTAAAGATTTGACAGATTTGCATTGACGAGTATGATATTACCCCTTTAGTTCCCACCTCTAACCGCCACATTTAACCTTGTAAATGAGTTAGTATGATTTGGTGATACATCAAGATAGCAACTCCTACCTGATAAGGGGCCGACCATTTAACTCTTGAGGGGGGGGTGGGTGATTTTGAAAAAAAATTTCCTGCCAGGGCTTGTTGGAAGAAAAATATTGCATGCAGCCCAAATGTAACAGAAAATGATGACTCAAACAGGAAATTCTAACTCTAATAAAATTTTAACTCTTTTAACCCCTTCTGGGTTAAAAGAGTTAAAATTGCATAAGGTAATGAAGGAGGATATAATGGATAAAATTGATATGGTGAACCAAAGTTATTCGTGTCTTTGCCCAACAGCTGAAGATTTTACGGTGCACCTGCATTCTCAAATTTGCATTTCGCGTTTAGAATACATGTAATTTTTCAAATACGACCAATCTTTAATTCATTTGATTTGGCGAACAATCTCTTAAATGAGACAAATTTCAACTATTTAGCTTCTATCCATTTAGGGAACTGGATTCTTTCACTTGTTCCTAAATATGATTATGATCGTTGTTATGCGATCGTCGTCAACCGGCGCAGAATTTTTCGAGGACTCAGCTTTTCCAGGCTTATGAAAAGAAAGATATTTCTTTACCACCCTGGAGTTACTTTGAGTTCGTTAGTTATGCTGTTTCCCACCACGTCACTTCTCGTCTTTAGGCGGAAGGTTTTTATTCCCCTTAATAGATTTGGCAGTCGACCGTATCTAATTATTTCTTAATTATTTCTTAAGATGGATAATTATTTATCACCCTAGGGGTTCGGAGGATTTCGATCCCTCCAAGGCTCTGAAGTAATCTAATGACCTCCCCCTCCCCGATAGACAGCTCCGCCTATATACGCTGTTAGCAACAACTGATTCCACCTCTATTCCCATGAAAACCATATAATTCCCATTATTCCCCCCGAAATCCCCCCCCCCTTTACTCCCCTCTCCCGAAGTGATAAATAATGACTGGTTCTAAAAACGTTTTAGCTATCTGTTGGTTTAAATATCGCTTTTTTTTCCTTCAGTGAACAAATGGTAAAGTTTTCCTGTTTGATTCATTTATCAAATTAGACGACATGGATTCGTGCTCAGTTTTATAGAGTTCTTCATTTAGTAAGAGTAGCAAAGTTACTACCCTCATTGCGGTAAATTCTAATAAAGTTTGAATATGGAGATCAGAAAGAAGCATATATCATTTACCAGATATTTATTGCGTTTTAAATTACATGATTAATAGATTTAAATTTATCGACGTTGTTCTTTGCAAAAACGAAGCGGACACTAATCCTATTAATTTCTTGTTGTTACACGGTTCAAGTCGGTTCTCCTTATCGCAGCGCGTCATTGATCCGTGTCACTCTGTGCTTTCATCATAATCACGAAATTCTCTCTTTGCCACCCCCTCGCAGTTCAACGATCTGGCTCCAGCACAAATCTCCCTTGTTGCACGTTTCATCTACAAAACATCAAATTTACATTGCAAGGTAATTAAACATCAAAAACGAAAATTTATTTTTAACATTTGGCATTTCGTTACCAAAACAATTCTGGGTCAAGAAAAGGACCTTAAGAGAAATTTCTGGTGCTCTGAAACCATGACATAATAGAACAAATAGTATAAAATGCTTTTATAGAATGCTTTTTGTAGAATGATTACTAGAATGCTTTTGCATCAAAGTCAACCCAAAGAATTTCACAGGTTTCGCCTACAATTCGCCAAAGCTGATTTGAACTCCTAAATAGAGGGAAGACCTGCGACAACCCCGTGTCTCCCTTCAGACCGCAGTGTTTGAAAAGGGTTAAACTCTGGCCTTTGACTACGTAGTTTATCGTGATGACCATTGGGAAAAGGTATTTCCACCGTTTAAGAATTGTTAGAAAAGGTCAATTTCGCAGAAATCTTCAAAGGAGCCGGCTGTAGAACCTTCGCGCTGAGCTAAACGACTGTCCGTCTATTTCATTACAGTTATAATGTAGGTTTCGTATTTCTTGTACACCCTTTTTAATTAAACGTATATCTGGGTTATTTGACTAACCTGAAACTCCCTCCTTTGGGGCCTGGTTACAAAACAAGTTGTCTGATCAATCAAGAGAGAAGAGATGAATAAGATACCCAACAAAGCAAAAATTTTATCGGATTTTTCCATCGTTGTTCTGGAGTGAAGATGATCGATTCGTTTTATTAGCCTTGCTCGTCTGGTCTGAAGAGAAAATATCTGCTTTTATACATTCTTGGAATCTTAGAAGATAAAACCACAACGATCTTGGATCATCATTTATTTATACACGGTGGCTTGTGATAAAGAAAGTTTTTTTTCTTTTTTTCATTTTTTATTAAAAATCTTTCAAGTTAAGTCAAGAAATCAAAAAGATTTTAAAAACACATATTTTTTGGTTTACTCGTTCACAGTTCATGGCTATTGCTTTTCACAGCATAATCGTTGGGATGTTGCTATCTTGGGTATTCCTTTCTCTTTATGATTCTTCCAAGGATCTTAATTTAATTGCTATGACTCCAAAACCATATTTTGTACCGCATAATTTAAACAAAAATTCGAATTGTGGGCGGAAATTTGGTCTAATTGGTTAATTCCATTTTTTATTATGTGATCTCACGTCCTTGAAACGTATTCATGAATTGATGACGGTATTGTTTGTGTAACACTGAACCAATTTGATACTTGGAATGATGGAAACTTAAAGGGCCCTTTAAACATATCACCAAGAATTGGTGCATAAGCTTAAATATCAGGATTTTTAATCCCGTTTTGTGTGTCCTGTTACGCTCGAAAGTTTTAAATTGATAGTAAACAACCAGAGAAAAAAAGGTCTGGGAAAAGACATGTAATTAAAAAAAAAAAACCATTTACCATCATTACTGTCATAATCTATGAGGCCATTAAAAGCAAAAAGAATAATCTACCCAAACCATTCAGTAATTAACAAATTAACCTTTCCAAATTTTCATTCCTTTTCAGCATGACTATGATGAGAATGTAAGTTCCTCATGCAAAAGGTGAATCAATCCCCTCATTATTACACACAGAATGTTATCTGTTTTGGTGACATGTTTCACTCATTGCAATTCACAAATTTTAATAAGCCTCATAACCATAAAACAAAACAAAAATGAAAAGATTCATGTTTATTTGTTATGACTATAAGCGATTATTTGTTAATGCTATTTCTTTACCTATCAAAGCAAGCAATTACAGTAAGCATAAAGATTATTAATGAATCAGTGGTTCCATTAGCTGACCTGTTCAAGTCACGCATTGCAGGATTGTGCCCGAGGCTAAAAGAAATATAATTACTAGTTAATTTTGCAGCCTCGTGAAATCGTATCAACATTTTATTTTTCTCTTTCTTTCCCCCATTATATCATTGAAGAAGGCACCGGATGAAAAAGAAACAAATGTAGGTTTTAGAGTGCGAATAAGAGGTGAGTTTAGGGTGGTAGCATACTCCTTTTGCTTCGGCAAAATCGAAAACGGATTTCGCATTTCCCTTTAATAGTAAGTTGTCACCAGAAACTATTTTCATCTGGTTTCCACCAGCCATTTATATGCGAAAAGTTGGGGAAATCAATTCTTTTACCTCGAAGATCTTTAATCTGAGCCAGTTTGTCTTCAGGGCTTTCATTGCTTTACTGACCACAAATGCAGGTTCAATGTACTGCCATCTTTAATTCTAAACGCTGATGACCAAGATGTCTCATGACGAAAAAAGGAGCTTTGGCCACAGCTTTTTCGTTAACACGCTCAAAAATCTTCGAACAGCAGAGAACCATTCGACAGTGATGATTAAATTTAAATAGGCAGTCTCTATCGAGTAAAACCGATCTTCTCTTGCCGATTCTGAACCATAAGGTTCCTCAATAAAAAGGAGTGTTTGTGCCTTCGAGAAGTATACACTGAAATGACGCATCAAAGGCGATAAGGATCAAAATCCCTGAATCAAAATTTATTCTTAGAATTGTAAGCCAACACAAAACAGTATCCACGATTTTATTGGCATCATTCCTTGTGTCCAGTATTATGATATACCCTGAGGGCTAAGTTATGATATCCCAACACCTAATTGTTCCCATAATCATCATTGTTGTCCACCTAATTGTTCCCATAATCATCATCGTTGTCCATTCGTCAATGATTAATAGACCTTTGATTAGCTATTGGCGTTGAATTTGTGTTTGTTAATATGACAAAGAGTTGTAAGAACAGAGTAATGATTCAGCACTTACACTGAGTAAAAATACAACATGACTAATGTTTCGATTAAAAAATGATGCACTTAAGGTGATTATAATAGATAAAAATGTTTAACTACATAGCTGCGAACTCATGACGCCTGGGTAATGATAGTGAAAATCGAGTAGATGTGTGAACATGACGAACACATTACATAAATGTTAATTGTCAAGCAAACCAAGGTTTATAAATTAATTGGTGTGGTATTTGTACTCACGAAGACTTAATTGTAGGGGATTAGACAATGTCTTACGCCCTGGGTCTTTTTTGTACGGACCTCGCTGCGCTCGGTCCGTACTGTCAAGACCTCGGACCGATATTCTCCCAGTACGGCCCTCGCCCTTGGTTAATAAGATATATTTAAACTGGCCGTCAATCGAGTACTGCCGTTCCTCCTTTGCTCATTGTAAACCATAGGGTTCCTTCACAAAAAGGATGGTTTGTGCTTTCGATAAGCACGCATCGAATTTAAACTGAAACGACTCATCAAAGCGAACAGAACAAAAGCGTCACCGATGCGTTCTTTTCACGAGGTCCCTCATTGGAACCGAGGCTCTCACGATTTTCAAAACGAGGTTGTTGCACAACTCTCAAAAATTAGTCATTACAGTAAAGTCACCTTGATAGCGTGTTACCCTGCAATTCTAAACGTTTGCTTGAGGGCTAGTTGTGAAAAGTAGCCTTAAAAAGTAAGCGGGTAAATGGTTAAACAGAAAGGAATGCTTGGTCTGGAGTTCACTTCATGTAAAATCTGGGGCACTCGATAGAACCCGCCCCGCATTGATACATTTAGTAATGTGCAACGTCAACAAAAGATTGTGAAGATCAGGGAGTCCCTAACATAAACTGCTGCACCGTTGTTTCGTGTTAATTTTTACCGGTTTTCCTGACCACCTGCCTCTACTAACTATTTTCCCATTTAAAGCGAGAAAACAAACAACAGTCACGAGTCTTTATACTTGCCTCAGCCAGTGAAAAAACTCTTCGGTTTTCCTGACCACTTGCCTCTACTAATTATTTCCCATTTAAAGCGAGAAAACACACAACAGTCCACAGCCTTTGCACTTGCCTCGGCAAACGATTCGTCGTCTTCGAACTCGTTAAACTCCTCATAGCAGAGGATTTTACCAGCAAACAGCAAGGAAAATAGTAGAAAGGAGATCAACACGGTTTACCAGTTCAGCTTCCAAGCACGAAAAATGCACCTTTTTGCCAATGATAGGCTGCTTTACATAAAAATTACAAGACAACGAGATATATGATAAGTGGGTAAAACTCTGTGCGCAGGTTTACAGCGAAGAATAAGCTGGTCGGTTGTTTTTCAATCTCCGTCACACTGCTAGGTATCCAGTGACCCTCAAGTTCCACCTGCAATGACTCAGTTTTGCTGGTGTGCACTACAATAAACTATAGAAATATTCTGTATTACATTGTACACAGGATTACCGCACCGTCAGTAAGCACGCAATTCTAATTTTCTTTTTTGAAAAGGAAAAAACTTCATTGGTCTCGGATCTGTTACAACAATTACAGTAAGGAGATGATTTAAAAATATTTTCGGTGATGTAAACGAATTCAGTGAAAAAGAACTTGATATGACGATGAATGCTTACAAATTACAACAATAACTTTTTTCGGAATAACATAATTTGTACTCCCCTAAGTTTTCCCCCTTTTCTAGCAATTCAAAACAATCATCTGCTACACACACGCAACCTCTTAAAGTTATTTCTTGGATGTTTGGACTTCAAGAATTTACTAAAAACTTTCTATTCATAAGCTGTATTCTTGTTGAAAACTTCATAAAGCGATGAAAAAGATGTAAAAATTCAAGTTACCGCCTATAGTTACATGAAATTAAAACTTTTAAAAGACATAGTTACGCGTGTTTATTCTGATGATGATATTTGATCAGATGTTATAAAAGGAAAAAGAACGTAAGTAAGCTATCATTGTCTTCCCGTTCTTGAGAACACGTTGCAGGAATTCTAACTAAACAACTTGTAACGACTGTTTAGCTAAGAATGATGTTTTAAGCATATGGCGGACAACGGTTGTATAAATGATATATAGGAGGGAGGTTGTCGATTTCAGATTCCCAATGATATTTTTGTTTTCAGTTTACAATGAAGCGAACTCCGTACATTCGACTGACAACAACTTTTCACTTGACTCTGATGATGACTTCTGCTGGGGTCGTCGAAACGTTAGTCTTCACTACTGACAAAAGTCCTTCTCAGGACTGCACTTACCCGAATGAGCAGACTACTTTATCAGATATTTTGGTTGTTGTAAAACTATATCGGGGATTTTCCCCTGCCTTTAAGCGCACTCTTGCTTTAAGCACTGCCATTAGATCGTTTTCCGTAACTATTTTGAATGCGAATCAAAGAAATCCTTCGTGGAGATAAAAAATTTTGGAAAAACACTTGGGCAAATGAATGGTAGTTGAATGCCTTCAGTAAAGATACTCCAAAATTCTGTTGCGGTGTAGAAGTCAATTATATATGCAACAAAATGAAGAACTGATGAGAAATTTTTAAAGGCTAACTCACTTTTCTTCTTTTCGTCTTTTACGCTTGTTTCCTAAGCTACCAGCTGGTAACGTAACATTGTACACTCCGGCCTCCATTTAACTTACAAATGTTGAAACCTATATGCTTCTGATGTAATGATGAGAATGCTTAAGGATCTCAAATTCGCGCCTTAAGTTATCTCAAAGCGACAATACATAAATTTGAACAAATGGTTCCATCGGAGTTTAAAGCTACCAAACAGTCTTAACATCGAAGTTCGTTGGTTCACGTTGTAGAAATTCTCACAATGCCGCTTCGAAAGATTGTTCTGTCCACGTTGATTTTTCAAAAAATGTTAGCCAAATAGCTTTCAAAAAGGCTTAACTCGAGAACGATGCAAAAGGATTAGTACTTGAATCAGTTTTTTTGCCGACAGTTCTTTTAAGTGACTATCAAATCGCGGCATTCTGACGAGGCTTAGCTCTTTAATTAAGTACAGGGGCAACTGGTGATGTCATTCGAAATATTGAACTGAGCTTTCAGGTACTTCTTTAGCACTCAGTAATCTTCCAATAGTCACGAAAACAATATTAACGTAATCGGACGGTTCGAGGCTCATTATAACAATCGTTGATGCTTTGGCCCACATCAGTAAAAGTACATCCGAAAACAATTATTTCAAAATACAGCATTAAAACCCACATTAGGGAACCTCAATATTTGAACTATTTTAGTTATGTAGAACGAAATTAAACAGAGAACACCCAAAAGAAATTTCCTCTTTCCCACTTCCTATCCTTTCAGAAATTTTCATTTTCCCTAGAGGCTTGGTATTTGTTCTTTTAAAGGAGATAAATCTTACTCATTCGTGGATTTAATTAGTCACGGTTTGATTAAGAGTTTTCCTAGACATTTTAAATGTATGCAGGACCACATATTACTGATCAATCATCGGCAATCGAAAAAAAGCGTAATTATGGCTTTAAAAGTATAACTTTGCTTGATTGTTCATCGCAAATACCTACCAAACTAGCAAGGATTCATCGTATGGAGAAACAGAGTAACTCCTTTTAATATGTTCTTTGTATATTACTTCTTGGATTTTTTCTGTAGACATGTTAACAACACAATGTCTACTAAGGGACTGTTTGGTGAAGAGCATGGCTTTAAACAGATACTGGTTTAACAATCGCTTAAGTACATCCAAAGTACGTCACCTTCTATGGGACAAAGTGAACAATATAGTTCCTCATTTATTTCATTTCTGGTGCTTTTTGTTCGTTCGTTTCGTGGTCGTTCATTTAAAAAACAAGATCGCTTTAAAAGAAAAGAGTAAGCAGGTATGTAGACTGCGATAGGTTGTCATTAAACCATTGCGTGCAGTGAAATATTTTCAGCCCGTTCAGTGCATTAAAGCTCATGCAAACTTACAGCTGATTCATGAAGATTCATTTTTATCACATAGATTTCTTCTCTCTGAATGAATCTATGTCCCCATCAAATATGACTTCAAACCCTTGCCTTTGAAAACAGAAATATTGTATAGATCTGTATAAGATTCGAAACGTTTCCATAATAATGTCATCTTGATTGCATGTTAAAAGGACATCTGTTCATAACTTCTTTTTTTCCTTTACTTCAGGTTTCTACCTCTTCCGCATCTGTCGGAGTTACTTTGGGATTCCCTGCAATCCACATTAATTCTGTATTAGTAATGTTACTAGGAATCTTACAGAGTTAAATAAGTGGTTATTTGAGTATCAGCCACAGAAACCTGAAAAATTGATTTTTACGTAAAATGCAAGGAATCCTTAAAGTTTATTGCGGGTCAAAAAACATTGGTTTAAGTAACTTCCCTGAGGAACACAATTTTAAACCAAGGTTAACAATACAGCTTTAAAACGGGATTATCTTCAGTGTGAATGAGGTATTAGTTTATTTCAAACCGATGATCGAATAAAGTGTGAAATTGGTCAACTCCGGCAAGAACCAAAAAGTGAACAACTATGTCAGAAATGAAGAAAAACCTCATATCTTTGGTTTTTCTGCTTTCGTCGGTTTCTGACGTGCCAAAACTTCTTTTTAACACCCATGCAGGTATGAATCAAACTGAAACAATGATACTAATTACTCGTCTTTTTCCGGCAAAAGATTTCTTAGATCTGGAGTCTCATAGTATACAAGAGAAGCATATATGGGGTAAACCGTTAGCAAACGAAAAAATATTTAATAGTTCGCATTTACAAATTTACAGTTTTGAACTGTTGGTCGTTAAAATAGTTAGTCGTAAACATTTTTCTGTAAACTTTAACGGGAAAAAAATGGAGAGATATAAAGAGAGAGACTGGACGTTTCAGGGAGGTTTATTATTAACGTCTTATGAACCAAACTGCCATTATTGTTCCGAAATATCGCTCAACTTTCATGGATACCACATACAATAAGCATCCTAGACCATGATTCACAACCAAAACTAATTCAGTTTGTAACACGTACGGATATTTTCGTTCTAGAACGTTACTCATCCTAAATGAATAGCAATATTCTGATGACCGCATTTTCCTAGCAATATCGCATTTATGTCAATATGTAAAAATCTTTTGCCCGAAGGGAGGTGTAGGTGAGGTGAGGGATCTTCTGAAGCGCTTAGGATAAGACACACGTAAAATTTCAACTTGAGGGATACCTACCATACAATGAATTGATCCCATCAATATCATCTTGGTGTAAAACAGGCCTCCCGTTGCGTGCAAGTGGCCACATCACTGCACCTCGAACATTGGAGTGCGCCAGACCTAACGCATGACCAATTTCATGAACAGCTGTATAAAGCAGAGAGCGAGATTGCTTCGCAGTCCACCACCATCCTTTAACTCCACCTAGCTCGGTGAAATCCTCGTCATCGTCAAAATGGATAAATCCTTTAGATGGGTAATACGCATGCGCTATAATTCCCCCTGGTCCATCGAATGAATAAGGACAAGGCTTTTCACGCGGTACACCACCATGTGACCGTCTTCCAAAACTGAGGATGATAATAATAGCACCACCAATAACAATGAAAATAATGATGAAGAAAATGAAATCTAATTATGAAATGGTATGGTTGATTGAAGTGACTGGCTCGAAAAAACCAACAGTTTCCTTTGCTGTACAATTTCTTAGGTAATTGAAATGACAATAACAATAATAATAATAATAATATCATGAAAAATAATTATGATGATAATTGAAAATATTTAGACGGGGTAACCTATTCAGTAAGTGAATAGTTATCAAGGTGAGCCCTGTTGAAACAATAACTGAATTGATGGATAAAATATAATAAGGACTAATAAATTAAAACATACAAAAGTAAGAAAGCACTTAAAAAGATCATAAAATACTTAAGAGAGCTTAAGAGAGTAAAAGCGGTTGAAAGTTCTAAGGTTCTTGAGACCTGACCGTGGACGATGGGTCAATTGCCTTCCGCTCATATTGAGCTTACTGATCCATCTAAACTCGCATCAATTCATGAGTCACAACTTTTGAGTGCAGAGATATTATTATTTCTTGGAGGTCTTGACACTCATGAATTGCAGCATTGTTGTTTTTCGTATTTTTCTGGCGCACATAATCAGTCAACGTTTACAACGACCACAGAATATCAATATCCAAAATAAAAATTGATTCGATCGTCAAAGGCACAGTACCCCTGCAAGAATACTCTGTAATTTCTTGATCTCGTGGACATCTTTGGACTCTATAACCAGACTCTCCGTCAATTCCTGATCCAATTTTACTTGAAAAATCATCTATGAAAATACCTGAGTTTCTCACTAAAGCTTCTGTTTCACAACAAGTTTGTTGAGTATACAATATCAATGATTCCGTGAGTTTACACCCAATGGCTAGAATATTTATCAAAAGGATAAAATGCAAATTTTCTATTTTTACGAGTGAAAATTAACGATCTAGTGATTTAGATTAGGGAGGAAACCACGTCGGCAGCTGATTTGGAGTAGCTAGGAAAGAATGTGGATTAACGAAATAGCTGACCTGATTCTAAAGTCAGTGTTGTTGTAGTCCTGAGTTCTGTTGAATGTTAGGTTCTGTGCAGCATCGCTCCAATATTTGAAAGCTTCAGCGACAATTCTTGATTGATCTGCCTGACTCATGTCATCTCCGAAAGATAAGTAGTAAGTTAAGTTCCTTTTTGTCCATTTTCCCCTGGTTGCGTAACGCTTTATGCGCGAACCGTGAATGTCCACATCCGCATCACCACAGCGCGGTTTCTTCATCATGTATAGAGTGTCTTCGTCCAGCTGTCCGGTTACTTGAAGTCCGAAAAATTTCTGAAAGTTCTCGATTCCTTTTGTGGTGTTTTGATTGGCAAGGTCTTCATCAGGTGAAAGGTAGTGATAGTTTTGTAAATAGAGCTGTCAAAAAATAAATGAGTCAAAATTTCGGCTTGGACTAAATCAGTTTTGACTTTGTTGGGTTTCACTTGCACGAAGTGTAACTGAGATGGAGACATGTTTTCAATCCCCTTTTCTTTCGAATTGGATTTCATATTTGGCAAAAATGAAACATGCAATTAACAAGCATCGGATCTCATTGGAGAAGCAAGGCTGCCCCCCGGGTTGAGATGACTTATGCGCTTAAAGACCTAGTGCATTGGAGACAATGACGTCATTCATTTATAGTACATTGTGACCCCACAACCCTCGTCAAAGTTTGTTGAAACAACCCGCTTCCATCTCGATGTCTCCTTTTTTTTTTCAGGAAGTCGAATGTTTAGGTCACCAGCATTGACAAGGGGCAAGGGGAAATGTTTCAACCTTTTGATAACGTTTTGACGACGATTGCAGTTAATTTAGCAGGTTTAGGATCTGTGAAATTATATGGATGGTGTTTTTTGTGCACAGTTAGTTGGTTGTTGGTTCCAAACACGTGAACTAATTGTACTCAACGTTGATTAAAATTATTAGTTTGACCTGAAAACGCTACCAGCAAGAAGTAAATGAGAGAAAGTATTGAAACAACGCATAGAAGGGAAACTCGCAGCGAAAAATAAGAGTGATACCGAAAATTCCGATGTGTTCAGTAAGTATTCATTAGTAAGCGATTATCCAGCTAGCCCATCTGTACCGTTACTGCAGAGAAAGAATATTACTGTCAGAGACTAGGTCTAGTTAGCAAATTGAATGTAACCTAAATCGTAATGTTATTTGAAAATTTTGCCTGAATATGTCACACCAACCATAGCGAATCCTTCGTCGTCCTCGTCTTCCTCGTCGAATCCCAGTACACAATGATGTATGGGCAACAGTGAGAAAACTACCAGGAAAAGAAACCTAGCCATGTTTCCCTCCATCATTAAACGTTTCGCTATAAATTCCTCACCGAATGAAGCATGTTTATATATGTACGTCGAATTTAATATTGTTAGATTGTCTCGAAAAAACAAGTATCCGTTCCCAAATATGGATTAAGAGGGACTTGAAATTGTTTTTGGTGGTATTGTTCATATGAGTCTTCTGCTTTTTTCTAGGCGTTGAAATAGTATTTTTTTAAGAAGATACATATAAGCTCTCTCGTCCACAGAATTGTGCTCTATGACAAGACATGACCTTTGTGTGAATTGGTTATCACTCTAATAATCTGCTGGCGATAATTAAAAGTATTCGATAGCTTAATTGCCTGAATCATCAAAGCGACCGCTGTAAAGATAACCCACAACATAAAGTGTCTATTATTTCGTTGTTTTTCATGTACTGCACCTATTAAAACAAACTATTTTTAGTTGTATTGTTTACAAATGAAAAACAAAACGTGGGAGGAAATCGACACTTATAGTGCTAAAAACAAGATGGTCACTAAAGATATTTGTGATTAAGTATATGGAAGTATATATTGGCGACATTATATGATATTGGATATTAGCTCTGTAATAAGGGAAGGAATTGTAATAGCCTTGCCATGATACTAGATAAAGGGAAACTACATGTGATCGCTGAAATCACCATTTTGGTTCAAAGCAAATATATCTAAGCAACAATTGGCGACAGGAAAACAAGTTGGTGAAGTACTTGTTCTGATCGTCAAAGTCATCGTGCGGCAGACGTGGGAAATATTATAGATGAACACTACTGTTAATTTATGCAAACACTACGGCGTACACAAATTTTAAGGAAGATGTTTAGACATGAGCAGTTTTGTCAATATTTTGCTGTCAAAACTGAAGAATGACACCTTCGATTATGTTTCACTACTTCAGGAAAATGAAGAAAAAACCTTAAATGTTGATTCAACAGCAGTTGTCGAAACTGCTCGGTAAACGAAGGAGGTTTCGTTACTCATTTCATGGCTGATTTTGCTACACTTAATATCCTTGAATAAATATAGTGAATCTTCTCAAAGGAAATCCGCTCATTGGCTATATTTGTAATTTTTTTATGAGATGATTAATTCCTCTCTCTGTTTACAATCATGTAGCGAATTGAGTTGCTTCTGGATGTTACTTATTATTCGCTGCTTGAGTTTGATGTTTAGATCACCGATTAATGTATGTAGTATTTACATTATACAAGGATGCTTTACAAAGGCTTTACAACAATATATATGAATAAAAATGGGATTGATGGATACATCTAGGAATTATTTTAAGTTATTCTCTAGATTTAAAGGGTGTTTCAGTTTCAATTTCTGCAGCGGAATTCTTCATTCTGGTCATCTAATACATGATTCATAAATCCCATTCCCATTAACTCATCTCGACGTCAATTTTATCCCAAACCTTTTTGGTTTCATATGACTCAATATTTTTCACAATATACACATGACTTTTTGGACCCATATCACTGTATTTATTCTTTATATTGTTGCATAATATATAGCGCCCTGAGAAGGGAAAGTAAGATTTAAACTTCGGGAGGAGCTGCGCTCGGAGACAGTTTTATGACAACCTTTGAAATCATTTTATAAAAATCCTGACAAAATCACGGGCACTTTCAATTGTTAATTCATGTTATCCTTGACAAAAACACGACACATCATGGGTTAAATTCGTAAATTGATAAAGCCGGTAAGGCGGAGACTTACCATCTCAGACTCTTTGGTCATCTTCTGCGGTCCCTCCGTTCGTTTGAGATAAGAAAGGAAAGTTCACACCCGCAAACTTTAAAGTAATGCCGCCAATGGAAGCTGTTTGCAATTTCAATCTTGAATCGCTTTCTATTATTGCTACTGGTAACATGTAATTATAACTAGAATCAGACCAAAATTTGTGTTGATGAATTTTCTCCTTTACGGTTGTAAACTGAAAGAAAAACTTATCCCGTCAGTCTTGAATGTAAACATGCGTTTTTGTCCAAGCGCGAGGTGAGGAAGGTTGGATATTCGGCGAGTTCTTCAGTTTTCTAAGCATTTGTAATGATCGAGACTAAGAGGTAATCCATAAAGAACGCCAAAGAGCTTACCACCTAGCCCTTCTTGGCTCAATTCAGTGCAGAAGAGAGTTAATTCAGTGCAGAAGAGGGCTAATTCAGTGCAAAGATAGAAACAAACCAGACACTCTGATTGGTCAGAATGATTGGTCATGGCTGCACAGCCTGCGGGAAACATGAACCCTAAATAATGCTGTTTGCTGTTATGAAAAAACAGGATTCTTCTATTTGCGGGACTTCCTAACCACTGCCTGACATCAACTAATAATTTATTCGTGTTTTTCTCGTTGCCATGTGCCCACCAATAACGTAGCTCCATTTTCTGCCTTTAAAAGCACACACAACCCACAATTCCTGTATTCGCTCTGACGAAGGGGTAACGCTCGAAACGTCAGCTTTTGTAATCGTTACGGTGGCCAATTTACCATTTCAACTTTGTTGATATATCCAAGTTATTTCGTTACCCCCACCGACGCAGCCCCAAACAGTTTCTTTAGAAACTATCAGCTTTTATCAACTAATAATACTTAGATGATAGCGGACAATAGATAGGGACGTTCCAGAGAGTACGACTATTGAACGTAACCCGAAAAAGGTGCAAAGCTGGTATCCTTGTCCATAGCTTGCCAGCCCCAGTCATGAGAATGATGGAAAAACTTACCCAAGTAAAGTAGTTTACCCACACCCTAGCCGTACGCTGGCGGTGGCACCAGTTTTTGTCTAACGGATTTGATTCCAATCAAAATAATAGGATGTTTCATCCTATCTTCACAGATTTTAAAAGACTTCAGTGGAATTAAAGCTGTGTCATGTGGCACAGTAACGACATAACCCAGTGGGTTGTCATGATAAAAAATCAGGGAAGTTTATTTTTCAGTGCACAAGATTAAGAAATCATTAGTTTTTTTCGGTAAGTACACTGGTCTTTGCTTTGATCGTCATTATCATTCACTCTATCACTCTTGGCATAAATACCCTGTCACGTGATATTCCGAAGAATGGAAGAAGTAGATTGAGTAGTCCAAATGTTATCACATTGCTGCTAGCGTTGACAAAAAGGACGACAAGGCATTGATTAATTGAGAAGTTGCTCTACGCGATGGGCGGAAATACAAACGAATTCGGTATTTTCGGTTTTGCAGATCATTTTTTCGGTTTTTGTGCCAAAAAACTTCAGTTTTTCGGTTTTGTTGTTCGTTGCGGTTTGCAGATTTTCCGGTTTTCAGCATTTGTTTTCCGGTCTCGGTTGAAAATATTAATGGTTTTTGGATTTGGTATTCGAGGCGGTTTTCGGTTTTTCCTATTTGGGTTCCGGTATGCGCCTTTACTGATCTCGAACAGTACGTTGTGAAACACACTTCGTGGACATGAAACTTGTATATTTGACTGAACAGACGAGATTAAAGGGAACTTAAGGCCGTAAGTTATCTAAAACCCCTACGAGCTTGGAGAGTTCTATTGATATGAATTCCTGTCAATTTGGAGTAATCAGAGACCAATAAACACCATATTTCCCAAAGATGTTGAAGACAAGAATTAGGAGAATTTTCCTGGGACATTTGATGCAAGCTACATGACGAAATTTGTTACAACAAAAAACAGGTGAAACTAAAAGAAAGGCATCGTAAAATACATCGAGCGGCCGGGGCGATCAGATAACGGCTTATTAAGCGACTATCTCGGTCTGTATATTGAGAGATTTTAGGCCACTAACTCAGTCTATATATTGTACGATTTTAAGACGTTAACTAACGGCTTACACTAACTCAGTCTATATACTGTACGATTTTAAGCCGTTAACTAACGGCTTAAAATCTCCCAATAACTATAACAGACTGAACGAAATTAAGTCGTTAGTTAATGGCCTGAAATTGTACAATAAATACAAAAGACTGAACGAAATTAAGCCGTTAGTTAACGGCCTAAAATCTTACAATAAATATGACAGACTGAACAAAATTTAAGCCGTTAGTTAACGGCCTAAAATCTCCCAGTAAAGATAACAGACCAGGGGCGTAGCCAAGATTTTTCAAAGGGGGGGTCACAGAGGCTACTCACCATTTACACCGCTGCTCTCCCGCGTATATCAGCGGGCTCAGTCGTATTATCGCGGCATGAAGACTCATATCAATGGCTTTTACGGCTAAGACATTGTCAGGGCGTTTTCGCCACCTGAATATTGTGGGTTGTTTGCTCTAAAGAAGACCTACCAAGGGGGGTCACGGGCACCCCAGGACCCCCTGGCTACGCCCTTGCAGACTGAACGAAATTAAGCCGTTAGTTAACGGCCTAAAATCTCCCAATAAATACAACAGAAATGAACGAAATTAAGCCGTTAGTTTACGACCTAAAATCTCCCAATAAAGATAACAGACTGAATGAAATTAGGCCGTTAGTTAACGGCCTAAAATCGTACAATAAATACAACAGACTGAACGAAATTAAGCCGTTAGTTAACGGCCTAAAATCTCCCAATAAAGATAACAGACTGAACGACATTACGTAAGTACTTAAAGAAAAAATGACCTAAAACCATCGACAACACCCATCTACGACCACCGGAAAACCCCCTTAAGAAATCAATTTCAGGTGTAAAATAGCGTACGCTGAAGTTTTATTAGGGCGATTTTCGTGGATATTTATTTACGGAAATGCGTAACAGCAGTTTTTCAAACTCATTAATAATTCATGAAGTTACAAACCAATCACGATACGCTAATTTGGCCACATGTGTGCGTTTAGAATCCCCGATGAAACACTGGAAAGAGGCTTTTCCACTATACTTTGATGAAATATCAAACCCTAGAGCTTGATAAAATGTCATACCCGGTGACGTTGCTCAGGGACTTGTGACACTGCTAAAATATTTGACAACAAAGGCCAATAATTACTGAAAAACAACAATTCCGCTTACGCTGCCAAAATCTTGGCTAATGATGCACGATTGA